ATCCTCTTCTGAGAGAAAAGTACAAGAATTTAAAATAGCTTAAATTGAGGAAATGATACACTGAACATGCACTCTATATCTGTTGATTTCAAACTTTTCAAATATCTGATGGATTAAACTGACGATGCACCAGCAAAAAGGGGCCATAAAAGTAAATAAAGAGATATTTCATGCAAGCTAAAAAGCATCTGCGTGAGTTATTAATCGCAAACAAGTTTTATCAAATGTTAAAATATAAATTATTGATGCATTCCCTCCTTAAAAAAGGTCATTGTTCTTGAAACATTAGACATTTCAAAAGATTTAATTGCTCAGTCTTCTGATTTATACACACGACGTTGTACTTCTACATCTTAAGTTTGCCTTCCTATGTTACTAACTCAGGCTGCCTCACAAAGTGTTAATGCAGAAAACTATCGCCAAGCCATCTCGTACAAGAAAAATTAATTTAGCATTGCAGTCATAACTGCAAACTGCTTATCAACGTAATAAGCTTAATAATTTAAAAACTATATAAGTACTTCCAAACAGTTGGTCTCAGTAACATTTTGTCATGATTAGTTGGTAGTATGGGAATAAAAAGACATATCTTTGTTTTTTCTTTACTGCGCTACGAAAAGTAGTTTTTTTAATACAGGGCTGATTAAACTAAAATTTAGCAAAATGGGATTCATTATATAATAATTTTACCATGTAATTCCCCTTTCTAATATTATTGTATAAGGTTTAGGACATAATTACTTTTTACTGCTAAAAAAGGAAGCATTTGCATAAACACAATTTTATTTAAAAACATTCTATTATAAACAATTGAATTTTATGTCATTGTTTTCTGTTACCCAATGCGATCTCCGTAAGGAAATTTTTGGTGACTTTTGCATCTGTTAAAACTCCAACCATGCGAAAATATTTTGCAATGAGTATGGATGTACCGAGCACCGTGCATTTTATAACTTTTTCTAGTTATTTCATTGAATGCTTTATCAGGACTGTTGTTCCTTCTAATTGCCTTGGGAAACATAACTGGATTCCTGAGTAACTAACTTAACTAAATAAGAACTAAACTTAGATGCTCTACAGAGTGCAGTATCGCGAGGATTGATCTTTTAACACTACGTATGCAGTGAGCAGAATGTAAAAAAAAAAAAAAAAAAAAAAAAAAAAAAAAAAAAAACTACAATACGTCTTCAGATATCAGCGAGAACTAAGTTCTTGTCTTAAAGACATGAACTGACTGTAAACCACGCGCACGGTAAAACAGCAAGAAGTCTCTCTCTTTCCTTTGGCTAAAAGCCCTTAAATATTTACACAGTTTACTACCTCATTTGCATAAACAAATGTACTTGCGCTTATTCTGGCCGTAAATGGAAAATAAGAGAAGATAGCAAAGTTTTAAAATAAAATAAACGTTACTAAAACTTAAAATCCTTACAACGTACCATTACATTCTCATAAAATAACGAATAATTTTTTGTTAAAATATAAAAATATTCGCTTGAATGCTAAATCCAGTTACAAATAAAAGAAGATGACAAAAAATGTGTGGGAAGGGAAAATAGTAAAAAGTACACTGCCCAAAACAATTAGGGAATGTTGTGAGCCTATGCACGAAATAACCATACTATCGACAACGTTTTAAACAAATATAAAATAGAAGAGGTCAAAAAGGGAAATTATAACGTTTACAAAATCAGGATTATGTAAATTTTTGTGACGTCGAAAACTACGTGTTTTAGGTAAGGATCGAAACGCGATTTTGAGCATTCCTTCTGTAAAAGGATATTAAAATATTTGGCACACTTTGAGTGTTTTATAACAATGAATACGATGTTTTAGCAAGAGGACTTAACTGAATCGGTACCTTGGTGGGCTATCGATCGTCTAGAGGCGAGTCAAACATAATCCTCTGTATCGGAAACGTTAAGAATTTTTCAAAGCGTCATTTCCAGACTGTGGAATCGGTTATGAGGAACTGGAAATGTTCGCCGAAGATCAGCACAAGGTCGTGTACCTAAACAAACACCAAATTAGGATCGGTATTTAACACTAGAGGCCAGAAGAAACTTCAATTTAAGATCCGTATTCCTGCAACAGCACTTTCACAAAACTACTAGTGTCGGTTTGTAACCCTCAGACCTATGGTTTCTGCGTCGTTGACACATGACCACCATGCTGCCCTCAACAGGTGAGCATCTCAAATGGGAACAAGATGAGTGGAGCAAAGTGTTCTACACCGACGAGTCCTGCATTAAAGCCGATTACACAAAATACTCCTGCATTTATTCATAAACGATCCGATTTGGGAAGCCGGAGTGATGGCCTGGCCCGGTATTTTTATCAATGGTCACACCGACATGTACATTAAAAGGAACGGAGCACTAAGGAATTAACGATGTAGGGTGGAGACCCTCAGACCTATTTTAGTCCTTTACGCCGCAGTAATCGGGAATGAAATCATTCTCATGGATGATAACTCCAGGCCACATCATGCTCAGTTAGTGGATAATTTCCTTTCGACGGAGGAATCCTTCGAATGGATTGGCCAGCATGCTTCCCAGATATGAACACAATATAACATGTTTGGAACATTCTAGGTTAAAAACATTGCTAGTCGCTTAGCACCCTCATAAACAACCCAGCTTAGCCACATAAACAACTCAAAGCTTAGTAACCTCATAAACAACTCAAAGCTTAGCAACCTCATAAACACCTCGTAAACAACATGGGGAAGCTCTCTTCTATACTAGAGTGGAAGAGACTAAACCAGTCCCTCATTGATTCATGTGTAGCAGGTGTGAAACATTGTTGTCGGTCGAGGGAAACCAAGCTCCTTATTGAAACTGATTTAGATCCGAGATATCATGTTTTTTTGTTTGTTTGTTTGTGTAATTTGCATAAATTGCGCAATTTTTATTTACTGACAAATATTATCAATTAAATTTTATTATTCCTTGTTCGTTGCTTCTTTTCCTTTCCTCGCATCTTAAACCCCTATACATCATAGTATAGCAGTCACCAAAGCATTTCCTCATCCGCAATTTACATCCAAATTCATAACATCCCTTAAGCCTTACACTACTAACGGGACATGTATGTTCCACTAAAAATACTTAAAGTTTATAAACTACTGCTGGGTTAAAAAGTACTTAGAAGCTCCTGAATGTGGAGGATCATCGTCCAATAACTGGAAAATAAAAATGCCGCCGCCCTCGTTGTACACAAATGAACATATAGAAAATATGAGTTGTCCAATGTGTAATGTTGGAGACTGCAAAGAATGTTTTACCCTGTACCATACGATGTAAAATTTATTTCATATAATAATATTTTCCAGAATAATAGGTGTGCTTAAAGAAGTCGATCTCTACGTGTGGGACATATGTATCCCACCATTAACTACGGCTGGGACATATGTGTCCAAGACTTTGGCTTGAAAAATCTTTTGTCAAAAAATCCCAAATGCTAAATTAACCTCATTTATGACATATTTTGTTCACTTGGACAGAAAAAGGGGTAATATTTTTTCTAAATTCGCAGTAGTAGGATTAATTCTTTTGAGCAATGTAGTTTTCATACCGTATTCTATAGACTCTTTTGCGTGGAGACACATGCCTTAACAGGAACTGGTGAGCATTATGCTTTCTAGCTTTTCTAAGTTACAAATCTTCATTTATTATTTTGTTTATTTTTGCTACAGATGTATTAAATACTTTTTAAGAAGAGCTCAAAAGTCTTTAAGCAGACTTAACTGATTTTTCGTCGGCGGATTTTGTCTTGTTACCAACGTTTTAACTTTATAATAGTACGTACCTTATTTACCATCTCGTGTTAGCCATAGAAGAGGCTGCAAAGCAATCACTGGTCTTAAGCATTTCTAACAAATACTATTTTCTGTCTTATTCCATAAATGGAATTGATGCATGTGTAAACCATCGTTTGTCTACTACTTTTTGAACATTACATTTTGGTCTTTATTCCATGAATGGGCAGTATTACTAAGTTTGTCGTTTTGCAGCTGCCTCTACCCCAGACATGGCTTGCTGATTACCGAAACTCAGTACTTCATTTCTCTTTTCTTTTACAAGGCTATCTCAACTGGAGAAGCTTCATTTTTGGACTTTTACATACGTTAGACTCTAAGGAGACTCATTCAGGAGTCTGGAAAGAGCAGGAATAGTGCATCTCCTGCTGCATGCCAGAATAACCAACAAAGTATCAAAGTATCATTTCTAAGTTCTCTGATTTTTTCTTCGCATTCGTTTCTCCATGTGTGCTTTATTAATGTGGGTATATGAGGTTTTTGTGACATAATTTTTATTTTTCAGGCTTGTTATTACGAAGATACTGCAAGAAACCCAAACCAACAGAAACAAAGGAACATAAGATTTGCACATCAGTGTCATTTTTTTCCAGCTTTATATATGCTCGTCTTAGAAATCTTCTTTGTAATACAGAACGTAAACATTTAAGTTCGTACAATAAAAAATAAGGTTAAATCGTTCTGAAATTTAAATTTTTTGATCTTCTGAGTAAAGTTCTTTTTAATGGACAAAATTCATTGTTAGAAAAACGTCCACTGTTGAGAGGTTTTTAACATGTGTGAAAAGAAAATCATGAAATATAATCATTTTTAAGTGTCTTAGGTTACAGCATTTTTACTGTTACATGATTTTTAGTTTCCACAAACTGGTTTTCTGCATTTAATTCGAGGAAAAAGAGTTATAATTTCAATCTTCTTGAGTAATTGTTTACTATTTCCCGCCATTTGTTTTGTTAGTAATCAAAGAAAGAGGCTACCAATGAATTCAGTTGTATGTGGATAAGAATGTAGAATAAAGAAAACTGATTGCGCAATGGTTCGCTAAAAGTAACCTTGATTGGATAATAGAGGGAGGAAAGAACTCACACGAAATCTACTTCCCGTAAAAAATATTTGTTTTCGAATATTATAACCTCAAGGAAAATCCCAATATAATTTCGATATTTTAGGAAGGATATTGTGAACATCCTGCACGCAATTTCTCAATTCACAATTTGTTCGCTTTTGTATATAAAGATTATCTAATTTAAGTTTCGCTGATTTGTCGAATAGTGTATCCGAATCTAACTATGTTGAGACCGCTGGTGAGTATGGCTATTCCTTTGTGAGGTTATTAGTATAACTGTTTTTTAAATCCCATCAAAGTAAAATTTTTCAGAGAAAATTGATAAAATTAGTTTGATCCTGAAGAAGAAAGACCGATATCTGATCCCCGAAATGAATGGAGTTTTATTCAAAATCTACGTCATTTAACTAATTAAAATTTTATATTAATGTGTTTCTCTTGCATATAAAATAACTTCCCCTGAATGAAAATTCATTATAACCTTATAATACATCTCTTTAATAATGAAGGAAAAATTTAGATGCAACAGTTATGTATGATCTTATAGCAAGAGAAATTAATGATACGTAATAAAAAAATACTAGAAATATATTTCAGTTAATGAATTGCTTCAAATTTAAGATGCTTTATAACTCCTATATATATAATATCGAAATCGAATCGAAAGTAAGAATAAGTAATCCTCTAACTTAGCTATAGTTGACATCTGTCAGGCATATCAGATGAGCTGAAAGTAATTACCATCTTATCTTCAGCTTTCATTCAAAAAACTAGAAGTTGGAGTATTATAAAACGAAATGATAGTTTATGTTTCAATAAATTTTTCTCAGTTTTGGGGTAGGAGCGTCACTCGAAGATTTGACGGCAGCTTGGCAAATTTTACTGTGGATCTTACTTCTCGTGACCATTTTTAAGCAGTCACGACATTTTTTTACCTCAATTGTATTATCCTAATTTCTGCTATATAGTGAAAGTTGTCCTAATTAAAAATAACAGCTTATTCTACCATATTTAAACTAAAAGTTACCATTTTTACTAAACATTGGTTTGGTTTATTTGATTGTGGAAACGTATACTACGCAAAAGGAAATGGAACAGTTCTATATCTCCCATTCTACTGAGACTATTCACGAAGTTCAAACTGCGTGTTTTATGTCTCGAAAGCGCGACTTATGATATATATTAGATTTGCATATAGCATTATTGTAACATAGGTATTTTGACACAAAATCGGACTTTTCCTGAAATGACAGGCCATTTTTTTCCATATTCCGATTCTACGACTCCGATTACGCCTAAATATTAAATTTTGTACGATTGGTGAGAAATGTACGTAGAAATTCAAATATTTATCTTGGCGCATTTTTTCCGTTTTCACCAAGAAGAATTAACTTGGCGAACTGCTTAATATTATGGCAACCTATTTTCCTTTTCCTTTGTACATGGTGCATGAGAGGGAAAATGTTACATCGCTCCCGCTTTCAAATAATTTTAACAAAGTGCCTAAACCACATTTGATATTATTATCTCTTTCAACAAATATGCAAATTTCTAAACCCGTCAGTATATAAATTTAAGTATGGCTTCGAAAACTTTAAATAACAAACGCTAATATTTTGCAAGTATGCTTATAAATACATCTACTTTAAGATGATGCTAAAATTGTACAGACTGTAATTCAAAATTTTTTTCGAAAAATTTATAAAAACTATTTTAAAATACAAATTTTTTAAATAAATCATAAAAAATGGGCGAATTTTATTTGGAATGAACCTAAACTTCGAAATGTAAAAGGAAGAATCAAATAAGTTTAATAAAAAAAGCGATATTAATAAATATAACCAAATTCAATTAACAATGGAGCTAAATTTTTTGAGAGCTATGTTTCAAAAACTACTCGTGCGATTTTTACAAAACTTGACAGTTTGGCGTAATTTGAGTCGTAGAATCGAAATATCGGAAACAATTGGCATGTTATTCAGAAAAATTCCAATTTTGTGTCAAATATCTACATTAGAACAGTGCTAAATATAAATCTAATACATATCCTAAGTCGTGCTTTTCAGACATGAAAAACGCAAGTTGAATTTCGTCAATCTGCCCAATAGAACAGCAGATATAGAACTCACCCCCCCCTTTTTTTTTTTTTTTTTCGTAGGGTACTTTAGGGTTGTATGCTTACTTGCAGGTTTTTCTAAAGGGAACTGGCTCGTATTCACGTTACACATAGCGAAAACCACAAAAGCCAACCATGCAGTCAACTGTTCGCCTGGAGTCGAACTAACAATGTTCAGCAACTTACCGGTCGGCCAATAGAGAACCTTCTTCTGAACAACATTATGTAGGGAACTGAAGATTGTATTATACGAAGCGGATGACAACAATGTTAATGGTGCTACAGAGGCCGATAGCATTTATACGAGCTTCCCTAATGCAAGTACTTTGGAGAATTATTGGAAATTTTTAGATACCGATATTAAGAAATTTCACTAATGTTGCGGTAGGATTAAATAAAGCTTTAAAAATTTCAAATTATTTAACTTAAGATATCAGCTCTGAATTCAGTTATCTGTAAATATTTTTATCATTTATATTCATTTAAAAGCTGTCTTAATGCGTATTTGATTATTTGGAAATCATTTCGGTCCCTTACGAAATCCGGTACCAAAACTACAGTAGCGAAACACTTTCGGTTTTCGCACGGAAATATAAGGTATATTTCTTATACCAACATTTCGAAAAATAGGATGCGTCTTACAATGGACAGGCGATTTCGAATAGAAAGCTCATTTTCCCTAATGTTTTTGAACTAAACAGTACTCAGCATGTTTTATTTCAAGCTTTTATATTTTTATTTATATCGATTTATTCACAGTAACATATTAGTAATTAAAAACGCAGTAAATATTCCTAAGAGTAGGTTGGCATGATCATGCCACGAAGTAAATATTTTATTTCACAAATAAACTACATTTTGCCATAGTAGAAAGAACAATATAATTAAAACATCATTCAGCGAATGTTCAAGAGACTTTTCTATTGGCGAGCCCTCTGAACAATTACTTTATACTACAGAGTAGAATTTTTTTGCTCATGAATAAATGATTCTCAATGGTACACTCATTATAATCATGCCTGTCAATGTTTTATAGAGCCCCGTATCGGTGAAATATTGAATTAAATACTTATATCTATGCTCTCAATAAAATCTTATTATCTCTTAATAACGTACACTGTACAAAAAAAAAAAAAATCTGAAAGCTTTCAGATTTTACATTACGCCTAAAGGGGAACTTTTTAACGTTTTGTGGGTTACCTTTATTTTTTAAATATCATGTTCTTCGCACTTAAACCATAAAATTCAATTCAACAGCAATATCGCAAAATAATTTTAAAATGAGTATATCTTTAGAATTTTCGATACACTGAACATAGTGGTAGTTCGGTCCGAGGTTCGAATCCCGCAAACGGGCTAGCTGCATGGGTTTTTTCGTGGTTTTCCCCATGTGTAACGTGTATGCGAGCCAGTTTCCCTTAGGAACTCCACCAAGAAGGCATCCCTCCCCTTAGGCTAATCGCCCTAGTGTGCTTTGCCATAATCTCACACAGACACACACTCCTTCCAGCTTGCTGTCGAGTCAGCTTGCTCTTTGGTCAGTTGCTGCTCTGGATGAATACTATAAAAATGTGGAACATTTGCTTGAAATTACCAAACAGAAGGTACATCCTACGCATCACTTATAATACTTAGTATGCGAATTAAGCTTTAGACATCTGCAAGTACGCGATTGAGTATTGATTGGAATTAAAAATGCACTACATATTCAATTTCCTTTTTAAGTCAGATTCTTCTCTGAATGTTAATGACATGAAATCTAAATATGTAATAACAGTCATATTCCATTAAATACCTTCTTTTATTATTTATAAAACAATAATAAAAGTGGTTCTGAAGCAGCTGAATCAGTGAAAACATCATGCCTATTCTCTAACAAATTTTGCCATATTTATGACATATTTGCAGCAAGTAAAAAAATGGGAGCAATAACAAGCTGGCAGGAGAAAGAGAAGTGAAAAGATATGCTCAGATTGTACTTCGAAAGGATGCATAAAAGTGAATCAGCTTTAATTAACTAGTTCAATCATCTTTGATGCAGCTTGATTTTGATTGGTTCAGTTCGCAAAATTTAAAACTTTCACTAGTATAAGCGTGTTGTAAGTACTTATGCCATTAGTGTCATGTGAGAATTATAACACATTGATTAATTTCCAATGAAACAGTTTATAGAAATTTGTTATGAGTGGTTAATACTTTTAGAATAGAAAAGGGAAATACCCAAATGAAAGAGGAGAATTTAGAGAATATTTCAAATTAAGTTAGAATTTTACCTTACTTATTATATATATAGAATTTAATGCTATGGTGTTTACATATGCTAGAGAATAATGGAATAATATTTTTAGAAATTCCTACAGATTGCTTGCGCATATAAATGCATATGTTTGTACTATTAAGGCACTAAAATACATTTTATTAGGCAAAGCAGTAAAATGAAAGATTTTTTTTAATTTTCGAGGCTTTTAGCTTCATATTTTAATTTGGTATATACCGGACTGGAAAGGGGGGATTTGATTTGACTTAAAAACATGCGGAGTTTTATCTAACAACTGTACATGATTCTCTTGAACAGGTAAGCGAATATTCGCTTTAGTTCAGAAACAGATACGTAAAACTCAAGAAGGGTTAATTACCCTTTACTTCTCAAAACAAGAATTTCACAGACGGTCCCTTTCTCAGGACTTACACCAATGCCTCCAATTGCGCTTTAACTCCAATTGCGCTTAAGTAAGCTTAACTAAAAGATATAGCCGAAGCTATCAAGATTTCTGAGTAGCTAGCCTCTAGATATCAATTAAACTGCCAAAGCTGTCAAAGCTTAATGCACTGTGTGTAGAATCAAGCATGTCAAAGCTTAATGCACTGTGTGTAGCCAATACGCACAGTGTATTAAGTGTAGAAATGAGTTTTTTAAGGTGTCCTAAATATAGTGCAGTGTTCAATGTAATATGTATTATAAAAATTTTAGTGTATTGAGTTTAGTTAGTGTTAAGTGTTAACTTAACATCGTTAAGTGTTTTCTAAACTGATTCATTAAACTAATGTATCCTCAATATTTTATTAAAGTGCCACTGGGCGTTTAGACACACTCTCTTTCTCGCAGATTGTTGGCGTTCTTCTTTGCGCAATAACGCTGCTTTCCATGACTGCAGCACTTCCTCAAGGAGGAGGAGGAGAAGCAGGAGCTGGAGCTGGTTTCTCATTCGGTGGGGGAGCAGGAGCTGGAGGCGGAGGAGGAGGAGAAGGAGGAGCAGGTGCAGGAGGAGAAGCTGGTTTTGGATTTGGCATGAATGCAGGAGCAGGAGGTGGAGCTGGAGCTGGTGGAGGTCGATGAAGATGCATGAATTGGTTCGAAATTCACTGGATACTGTGAAATGGCTTAAAATTCCATTTGTATCAAAATTTCATATCCAATGCAAGTCATAATAAGTGATGACTCTATTAAATTAAAACTAAACACTCAAAATCATTTATCTCTTTTATTATTTCAGATCAGTTTTTTGCTACAGTGTAAAATCAGAAAATTATTTTAGGTAACTTGTAATAAATACGTACATTTTTCGAAATCTATGCCTTTGATTTAATTGACAGTGATTGACCTTCAGAATTAGTATATTAAATATTGATTTAACTATGTTAAATCCATTCAGATATCAAGCATATAAGTCATTACATTTATTGATGTTGGATTGAAATAGGATGATTGAAGTCATTACTTTATACTTCAATCCAATATATCCTTTGAAATTTACTACAAAATTATATAAGCAGAATATCAACTAAGAAAACTGAAAGGGACGCCGAAAACTGGAACTCTTATCTTAGAATAGCAAACCTAGTACCATGTCCTTCAAGAGGCAAAACACGCTCTGTCTTAACAATCCCAAAGCCTCACTTAAATACATGCTAACTCATTTGCATTCTGGCAGGAAAACGGAAAGTGAGAAGTAACAGTAAATATTCAAAATACAAAACAATTTATTATTAAAATTAAGGAAACCTCACATTTTTTAAAATCTTTAAATGATAATATTTCAATTAACAATACCTTGATGAAAAACTTTGCTTTCTGATATAGCTAAATACTCTTTCTCCATCAGTCAGAATTTAAATAAATGCACAAAATCAAATACCATATGAATTATATGGTATTTAATCGTAAAAAAATATAATCGTCAGTTGCAGAATAAATGTTTATAAAACTTTACCAATTTCAGTACATAATTAAAGATTTAAAAACATTATTGCAATTTTTTCACACTTTTCTTATAAAAGATTTAGCTTATAGTTTAAATAATAAACGAAATTTTGTTGACCAACTAACACTTTTATATGCAATATTTAATTCGACGTATTTTGACATGTATTCATAACAGCATTTTTCTAAATTTGCAAAAATTTTGCAAATTTCAATCTCACACTCGTGAAACTAGAACACTCTAAAATCAAATTGATTAAAATTATTACATGGTGATAAAATAGGAACTTCAGAAAAATTTAGACTATTTGATGTAGAAGGCTTAATTAATGAAACTTAGGAAAATTAATTATGCTTTTGTGTTAATAAATGATAATAATATTTGTAGAAATTATTCCTAGAAATAGTAAATGCATAACATATGACCCTTTTTTAAAATTAATTTATACTCTTTTGTAGAGTCTCGTGCTCTTTGGTAACATCAAATGTACGAGAGCTCTTAAGACTGAAACCAATTATCGTTATGTCTTTTAAGTCTGAAGCAAATTACAGTTATATCTTTTAAGACATAACAATAATTCATCTGCCACAGAGACATAAAAAGGGTGTAAAGGATCCTTTTATTTGACTAAGATAAATTAAACAGACGGCACCACTTCCAGAAGCCAACAATCTTGGCTTAAATCAAAGAGGATGGATGAGCTAAAACTAAGACAGGTAAGTTAGCCTAACGCGCAAGTTGGCTCTGACCGGCGTAACAGGCTTAATGGCGAGAATAACGAAATGCTGCAGAATAACTAGGAAGAGAACCGAAGAAGCAACGTGGCCTTCAGGCAGGCAGGACACGTTCTAATTTTACCCTTTAAATACTTTCTTCTTTATACCCCATTTGAATGCCACGAGCATTAGAAATTTACATTCTGGCAGGAAAAGAGAAATGAGCGAAATAGGAAAGATGATTAACGTAAAATAACTTTTTAGAAACTGAACGCAAACTCTACAACTGAAACTAGAGAATATAAATAATTCAAACTATTTGATAATAGTGTTAGCTCGGTCGTATTACTTAAAAACTACGTTATTTCAAGTTGGCCTAGGCATCAAACATTCTAGGCTTTTATTTAAGTACCTGATTTTTTTTTCCATCGATATTAAGCTTGTAATAAACTAAAAAACATTTCATTTCTTGTTAGTTGTGTTTCTTAAATATTTTTGAAGCCAAGAAATTTTGTCTTCAAAAGTGCTAAACGTCCCCCCACGAATAGTACTTATTCTTATTTTTTGCGGTTTTGCAGCTGAGGATGGTGGTTCGGTAAAACCATCAAAACTAGTCCTGAGAAAATTTTAAAAATATAACGCTAATTTTTGTTGTTTGACTTCTGAATTAGTATTTATTTGGCGTGTTATTACGTCTTAATTACTTATTCTCGTTATTTATGAAATATGTATTTTGAAATGAAGGTATAAATCTGTTTCAAAAGGATTAAAATACTAAATTTTTTCTTTAAAGATTAGGACATTTTTATTGATAAGAATGATGGGTTTTAGAAGAAATTATAGAATTTTTGCTGGTTAAATATTTAGTAAAAGCAAGTTATGAGATATATACCGTGTTTCCAAAAGAATATACGTATTACAAAATGTTATTTTGTCCAAACTATCGATCATTGCGCCTCAGCTCGGCTATTGGCGAAACGAATACACAGTCTAGTTTATATTAATAGCCGCTAGATGTCAGGTGTCTTCTGTTTTGCGCGGTAACCGTCACATGTTTAAAATGGCTACTCCGAAGCAGAAATCATTTTGTGTTCTCAAGTTTGACACCCTATGAACTCTTCCTGTGGGGTTTCATTAAAGATGGCATTTATGCACCACCACTCCCACGCAACCTGGAAGAGGTGAAGAACCGGATCCGTACTGTCATACCATCAGTGATGACAGACATGCTTGCCTGAGTATGAAAGGAATTTGAGTATTGTTGTGATATTGTTCGTGTCGCTGAGGAGGACATATTGAACATCTGTAGTCTGAACTTGAGAGGTTCGTAGATATGTGTGTAAAGTTTCATATTCGTATGCCATACAGTTTAATAAACATATGCATTCGAAATACTTATATTCTTTTTGAAACACGCTGTATTTCTCAAACATTAACGACCTCTGTTATATCAAAAGGTATTAGAAATACCTCTGTCGCTGAAATAATCTAGGGCATCAAAAGAACAATTGCTGAGATTCAAATCTTCAACAATTTCCGCTCGCAAAACATAGTCTATAACTTTAAATTCAAGGTAACTTTATAAGGTATTTCTCCCACTTCCATAGCGTGCCTTCGTGGTGTACTGGTTCTGCACACTAAACCGGTATTTCAGAAATCCGTGGTTCGATTCCCGGCGAAGGCGGTTGCATATCTTTCATCTTTTCTGCTTCCAATTAACCTAATGACTCTACAACCTTTTAAAAAAATCTGATTGTGTACATCCACATGACTTCCTTGTAAGGAATATTAAATTACATGCATTTTTTCCTGCATTTCATTTAAACTTATTTAATCGAATTTGATTAAAGACACATTTCTGAATCAATTCATTCAGTTCTCATTTCGCGACAAGGCAAAAATATATAAAAATTAAAAATATCTACATTAAAAATTGAAAGATAAAATAGAGAAACATAAAACACAGAATACAGTAAAACAATTAAAAGCACATTTTTTTAATTAAAATTACAGTTTCTACGCAAAAACAAGCAATTCGGCCAGCGGGCTAGAAGACATATTTTTCGGTGCGCTAAACTGAAAGTTTACTTTTGGTCTCACTCGCAGCGAAAGTGAAAAGAGGTGACTGATGGTTTTATGGTCACGTTGTTCCCACATTGTATCAGTACCACACAAGAGCAAGTTCGCTCAAGACGGGAACTAAGAATTCATTTTTAGTCCCCTTTTAGCTGGCATTGCAATGAAACTACTCCTGATTTAAAAGCGTGCTTTTAGCGGATCGCCTTTGTTAATTTTGCCATAACAGAGAGTAGGGAAAACAAACAATTTTTTTCTTCTGGGTATGGAGACGTATTCAACATCCTTGAGTGTCACAAGTAGGTTGTTTACTAAATATGTTTTGGCAGCTGATGAAAGGAAAAACGAAACGTTTTTAAGGTCACCTTTCGTAAGGAAAAACCTTTATCTTCTGAGGGAAAAAAGAAAAGTAAATATTTGAGTTTTGCAGGATGGTGAAATGGTTAAGTGTAAAGGGTAAATATTTCATAACTTATATGGTTAAATACTGTTAAATGTATACCTACGAATCTTCACCTTTTACAATACCATGCCGAAAGTACCGGTAAATATTGACCACTGTTACAAGAGGCAAATATTTGACTCATCAGTATCGGCTAAAAAAAGCACAATCAGAGTAGGACCTCAAAGATGTTGCCTAGCCTTTTCCTGTGGTATATAACATGAACTCATATTTTTTTCTGATACGTAATGCGTTCTCTTACGTGTTGAATGATAATTTTGTTATTTGGATTACGATCTTGATGGCACAAGGGCTTCTGTCGATGAAAGGTTTAATTAAGTATTTTTCTGAGTCGACAAAATTCTCCCCTCTTTGCATTTATTTTTCTTCCAAATCGCCCACTATTACTCATATAACAATTTGTTCGACTTTTGTTTTTGCAATCCTTACGAACTTTTGAATAGCTGCATATTTTACAAATTATTTTACTACTGCTGTTTTTGATACACGAATCAGTAAAATTGCTTAAAAATGAGTCAAAAGGTTTTACAGCAAAATATTGTGGATACACAATATTATGAGCACAGTCGATGTTCTTGTAAGATCAGATTAAGACAGGCTAAAAATATTTGCCATTAGGTGAGTACGTAACAAGATGAAGGAAAATATGCTGCATGCATATCATTAATACGAGAAAAGATAAAAAATAAAGCAAAAAAAATAATTTTTCGAAAATTTAATAGGTGGGCAAAATGAAAAATATCCATACATAGAAGAAACTCTCCTGTTTATCTTTCGTAATATGAACTGAGACTCTCGAGATATTTTTTAATTGGAGCACCAATTTTCAAATACTTTGTTCATTAAACTCCATTTTATGGCCGAAAAGCAACTTGCGATACACTCCATTATTTCAATCCAGGATTGACTTTGCATTATCAAATTACAGAGGAAAGAGAGTAAATTTCTTATTTTTAGGGAACTAAGGCACAAACCTCGTCGTATTTAATTTTCCACAACTGAAGCGGAAAAATTTCTGTGGTCCAAATCTTTTTTTAATATACGTTTTTGAAATCTTGCAGATAAAAGTCACAAATAGATGTAACGTTTTTTCCAGAGAGTGCTCTCTGAAA